CCCCCGCCCCTTCCCTTTTCTGTCAAATAGTTAAAATTGACTGTAATTGGAAAAAGGCAGATATACATTCCAGGCCTTTATGTGGAAAAAAAAAAGGATGGCATAGATGTAGAAGGAAACTTTTACCTCAATTTATTTATTTTAATCATTAAATGCAAATTTTTACCTCGGTCTCTCCGCAAACACTATTATAATCGACAATAGAGGAAAGATGGACTTAGAAGGTTAAACAAACCATTGAGACTACTAAGATATTAAGAAATGGTAGTATTTATTTTATGTCTACCACATGTGCAATCAAACACGTGGAAGTGTGCATTTTGGTATTACACAATCTCACCCTTCATTGCACTCAATTCTTTTGGTAAAGATTCAGGTAATCTAATACTTCATTGGAAAACATTTTCCATCATACTGCACATAGCCTTATGGTAGAAACAGCGGCAGGAAGATAGACATTCATAAAAAAAAAACTAATTGAGAGATTGAAGTTCCCCCCTTTAGCTATTCTTCCAAACATCTTCCCGTCCAAGTCTTTAAGGGCATGTTTGGCCATGAATAATTTTCACCTTTTTTCATAATTGCATACCAGAATCATGTTTGTGCATAGAATTGTTAAAACTAACAATACACATGTTTTCACTTTTTCACTGCAAATCACTCGCAAAAATTCAACATTTTTCCAAGTTGTATTCATGTCCAAACACAACTCCAATTACCACTTTTCAACTTTTTTTCAAATACCACTTCTTTTAATTTTTCAAATTCCCATTTTTATGTCCAAAACGTCCACTAAAATAGTATGAGCCCTTATGGTATCTAAGTACTGACGGAAACTCCCTCTAAGGGCGGAACTAGAGTTTCTATCACAAATTCGGCCAACCCACAATAGCTTTAGATTGCATAAATCTTTACCAAAGAATTGAGTACAATAAAGGGTGCAAGTGTGTTGCCAAAATGTCCACTTCCACGTGTTTGACTACACTTGTGGTAGACACAAAATAAATACAACCATTACTTAGTATCTCAGTAGTCCCAATGGTGTATCTAACCTTCAGAGGCGCCATATTTCCTCTATTTTTCAAATATTCATTGACTATGTGCAAATTATTATTTAGAACCCAATAACCTATGTTGCTCGAACTCTCAAAAATGTCGACCGGTGTGAGATTCTCCAGAAGTAGTGTGTTTTAGGAGAATTCGACATGGGTGCAACATCGAAAGTGAAGAGTTTGTGCAACTTAGCCAATAACTAAAAAGACTAGAATCCAAGACCCATATACTTCAAAATCTGGCTCTGCCTTGGAGTTTCCCTCTCCAGTCTCCCCCAACATTAAAAGCTCATTGACTGGCAACAAGTCAATACAGATGAATTAGAAGATAAAACTATATTTTGTGGACTTACGTCCATCTTATGTTTCTTCTGGAAGAAGAGCAAGGAAATGATCTAGTTAAATTAGCTATATGAATCCTATTGTATCAATTCACCTCTATACAGACCTGAATGCAATATTCAAAGGAATCATTTGGCTGATTATTTTAAACTGCTCTCCACCTAGTACAACCCTCTTTGGCTCCTCTTTTATCAAGGTTTGGGACTGGATATGTGTTGCAAAACTCACATACCTAGAGTTCCTAAGCAGTTTTTAACAATTTAAATAAATTCATAACATTGCGATTAAAAATACTAACTTTTTCCTATAGGAGTGTCCTTTTAACTATAGTATCCCGATACCTAGACATAATGAGCTTCTTAATCGTGATAACTAACCAAATTGTGAAGCATGAAGTAAGATTGTTATGGATCTTCTTAAAATAGCTCATATAAAACTTCTTTAAATTATAAATATAGAAAATATGTCAGCTCGCTAGAAAAAGAATCTCTCTCATGATGTTAATGACATCAAAAGAAAAGAGTTTCCTAGTGAGGTATCAATTTCACAGTGATTAAATTATGATTCATAACTTAACATGTAAGGAAGTGCAAAATTTAACGTTTGCTACTATTGTATGAATAATATAACAGAACCAATCGAACAAGAAGAATTGCGCTCCACCAGCTACGTGGCTCGAACTCGGGTAGAGGTCGGATCCTTCATGGTCGAGCACCGTTGAGAGATACTTACAAGTCAATATTTACCTACAGTGCCAAAAGCATTTCACCATTATCGGAAAAAAACTGACCAACTCTTAGACGCCAACATTATCACTTGTAGAATTGTCTAAAATCAGTTTGTTACCTGCAAGAAAATCAATACATCATCGCCTTTTCATTTTAGGAGCATCATTGTCTTGCTTCTCAGCTGATTGTTTAGAAATTGACAGTTTGTTGTCTTCATTGCCACAAGCTTCGGAACCATCTTATTTTCACAGTTCCCATGTTCTTTGATCCTGCATTTGGATAAATCAGTTAAACTCGAGCTTACGAACGACTTTATATCTTTCTTTCCCTTAACTTCAACCCATTTGTCATCTATCCAATCTCTTGAAGTCCTCAGGTTCTTCCTTTGAACCTCCAATAACATGTTCTCGCCTATGATTGAGAGAAAAAAAAAACATTGGGGCATCAGGCCATGACCAACATCGATCATTACAAATTCAAACAACAAATGAGCCTGAAGCTAGGCATACTGTTTAAAACTTTTTCCACTGCAGAGTTGGAAAGCCAATTCTCCTTTTTTTCCTTGTTTTCTATTTCTATTTTAACTTTTTCGTTTTTTGGGTGCGTTTTTGGCTGTTTTTTCTTACCAGGGAAATAAACCTGATGATGACCGCTTCCACAGACATCAATTTCAGCAACAACACCTTCCCACCACCCGTCAGACCACCAAGCATCAACTGCAGCTCCTATTTCAAAAGAGTAGTCAGAAGAATCCTCTAGAGGCCGAGGCCTAACTGTGAGGCGTCTTGTGCATCTCATGCCCAATTTTTCAGAGCCTGCAACTCTATAGGAAGAAACCCATTCCTATAAAATCAAGCAAAGGTGATGAGGAAAGAGAGTGAAGGGAGAACGGACAAGTCAATATATGCAAGTAGATCATAAATTATAGTATATAAATTGAAGTTACAGTCACAGTGGTTAAGGTACCTCGAGCTTTTCAGGAGCATCACAATCCTGGATGTCATCATATTGAACTTTCATACGTTTTTGTGATACCTCTAAGACCTTACACCTGAACCAACAACCTCTCAAGCCACTATCCTGGCAAAGAACCTCTAAGTTGTCACCAACTTCAATAGACAACTTATATTGAGGCTCAACAAGCTGAATTCCAACTGGTACTATGCTTGGAAATTTTATGTTTAACATTGGGCAAGTTGGTGGTTCGGCTTTTCTTATCGGGTTACCAGGAATTGGCTTTCTGATACCACTCTTGCTGACACTTCTACTCTCCCTAAGTCCTTGAGTTGGAGGATCTTCTCGGGTAATATGTTTTACTTCGTGCAACATATGACCCTTTGACTTAAGCTTGGCTTGTTGACTGCGTGACATGGTAAATATCGCTTGACTATAGTAGCCCTCCAATTCATTCAGAGTAGAGAATAGCAGGACCTGGTATTTTATTTCCCTATAGCACATATAAACACCAGAGGACAAATTTTTTGGGACAAGAGAGATATATTTGTCATAATCTCCTGGAGTCAAAACTGTAGCAAGAGCATCAATACAATTCGCTTGGATCACCTCAACATGAGACGTGATAAGTACTTCTCTAGGGTGTCCGTCAAGCTCTGGAAGTGCACACTTGATGTCCTGAAAATGTTCGAAACACCGAACCTTCGCTTTTTTCTGTCCCTTTTTATTCTCATATAAGTCTTCCAAGTAACCAAGGTGCTGACTTTCTTCTTCGACCGTGAATATAGCAAAGGAATTAACCTGCAGAAGACTAAGAGATTACACGAGAAAGGAAAAGAAATATTAGATCAAGAAGCTGATTTAATGCTACCGAGTGCTTACAGTTATTGTAGTTCCATTTCTGCTAAAAGAAGGATAATGCGTACGTTGCTTGGCGCAGGTCCAAGCAGTACCTGACCACAAAATATTTGATTTTTTTGCTTTCAATTTATTAGGAAGCTGTACCTGGAATAGATACTTCCCCTTCAGTAACTGTAGTTAAAAAAGTTGTAACTAATATAAAAAAAAGTAGATCAACATATTTGAGACCTCATCAGCTAAGTGACCAGCCATTACAACACTTCTTCTCCTTTCACTTGTCGGGGTATCTACAAGATAAAGGGAAGTCAAATATACTATAACGTAAAGTAGATTAAAGTTAAGACAAAAATAATTTGTAACAACTAGGCGTTGCATTCTTTCTACAGAGATCCAATTGTATACAGCATCAACAACTCAAAAACATAAGCAACTTTGCAACATATAAACCAACTGCAACAATTACACAAGAAATTATTTGTGAAGTGGCAGAGGGTTTACCCGTGTGATAAATGTCACATCCCAAAATACCCCTTAGACACCCACTGACACCACCTTGCGGGCGAACCAATTACCCATTCACTTGCCCAATTATATAAGCACTTTGAGAAATTACGTGCAGGTCTAGCACATTAATAATAATCAATAAATGGATAACAATTATCCAATGAAACTCCATAATCCATCTATTAACTCAACGATTACTCCAAGACTAATTTTTTCTTTTTTGACAAAGGTAATAGTTTTGTGTATTAATCTTCAACACTAAAGGCTGGGATCCCAAATTTACATCATGGAGCTACATACAGTTGCGAGTACTCAAAACAAAACAAAACTAGAACCTACTTCAACTTACAAAGAACCTAGGATATCTATAACAACTATAGGATCATCTACATACTCCAAACTGCACCAATAGCAAAAAGTGATTATGCAATTCATTTTGATCCTGTGTAAGGGACTACTAATACTCTCAAAGCATCTCATATTTCTTTCCTTCCATATGGTCCACCAAATCACTGCTGGGACAATTCTCCATCTGCTTTGGTCTGTACTGCCACTGCCTTCAGTGTTCCAGCTTTCTATAGCCTGACTTGCCCTTTGTGGCATGGGCACAAACACATCTAGGACACATATGTATTCCCCTCTTCATTAGATTCTCCTGTGTTAGTACCGCCTCTTTAACTATCAACCAAGTAAAGACTGCCACCTTATATGGAATTTTGACTTTCCAGATAAGCTTCCAAGGCAAAAATCTGAGTTGAGTCCCCATTTGATTCAGGTTCTTGTAGGCAGAGCTAACTGTGAAGATACCTTTGCTGTGATGAATCCACGTAAGAGTGTCTTCTCCCTCTTTCAATCCTCCAAAATGGTCCAGGGTGCCATAAAATTCAGCTAGTCTATCCACCTCCCAGTCTTGTATCATCCTTCTGTATGTTAAGTTCCATCTATGGATGGACCAAACTTCTTGCACAGTGGCCTCATGTTGCTGATTCAACAAGTAGATGTCTGGAAAGTGCTGTTTGAGGCTGCCATTTCCTAACCAATTATCGTCCCAAAATAAAATCTTTCTTCCATTGTTTATATTGAATCTAGTTCTTTGAAAGAAACAATGCCACAAATTTCTGATTGATCTCCATAGGCTAATACCATAGGCAGAAGTCACTTCCTTAGTTTTCCAGTGATCTATCTTCTCATACTTGGCCTGAATCACTCTAACCCAAAGAGCCTGCTCCTCTTTAGGAAATCTCCACAACCACTTTTCATCATAAGACTTGTTCTGTTTCTTCAGGTTTCTAATGCCTAACCCACCTTGTTTCTTTGAAAGAATTACAGTCTTCCATTTGACCAAATGAAATCCTTTGTATTCTTTCCCTCCATTCCACAAAAAATTCCTCTTTAATGCATCAATTATTTCCTTCACCTTAGGGGGGAGAGGAAAAACTGACATCAAATATGTTGGCAAAACATCTAAAACTGAGTTGATCAGGGTCAATCTTCCACCTCTAGACAAATACTGTTCTTTCCATCTAGATAGTCTTCTTTCACATCTCTCCAGCACCCCATTCCAGATTTCATTGGATTTGCTTTTGGCTCCCAAAGGCATCCCCAAATATATTGTTGGTAGTTTACCTATTTCTCCTCCCAAAATCTCTGTCAGATGTTGCATTCTGTTCACCTCATTAATTGGAAAAATAAGACTTTTTCTCCAGTTGATATGGAGACCCGAAGTTGCTTAAAAAGAATGAGTATCACTCTCCGGATCTTAAGTTGGCTTTCTTCTACATCACAGAAGATGAGAGTGTCATCTGCATATTGGAGATGAGTGACTTCCAATCTTAGATTCCCCTCATTTGCTACATTAAAGCCCCTTATCCACCCTTTAGTGTGAGCAGTCTTTAGCATGTTGTTTAGGCCTTCCATCACTATAATGAATAGAAAAGGTGAGAGAGGATCACCTTGTCTTAGTCCTCTGTCTGATGAAAAGAAGCCTTCAGGAGATCCATTTATCAGTATTGAGAATTTAACAGTGCTTATACAAAACTTTATCCATCTGATCCATTTCAATCCAAAGCCCATTCTCTGCATGATTTCAAGTAGGAAGCTCCAACTGACATGATCATACGCTTTCTCTATGTCCAGTTTGCACATGACTCCAACATGAAACTTCTTTCTTCTAATGCAAAACTTGCATTATGCTACTTTTATACATCACAGTACCCTGTCAATGCCCTTTGTTTATACAAATATTTTGCTAAAATTTAAGAGCAAATGGGAACATATAGAAGCCTGCCAAAAGAAAGAAAAACAAATAACTACTAGTTGCTCTAACAATGTCATAAAAGATGCTTCCATAAAAAACCACTACAAGATAAAGCTTTACACTGTTTTGCCACAAATACAATTGAAAGAAGAATTAAGAGAGGCTAAGTGAAGAGATGTAAGGAAGCAAAAAAGACTATATAAAGGGTTGAGTAAAGAGATTTTGTGGGGGGGGG